GCCGCACACAACAATTTCAATAAAATACAACTAAAATATAAAATGGACATTACCCAGAACTACAGGACAGTCGACTGACTGGAAATTCTACAACAAGAAGCAAGAAGAAAACCAGAAGGAAGAGTGGAGGAGCTGGAAAAGCCTAAGGGGTGGAGACACGCAGTGCGTGCGGAGAGGACGGAGCTGGAGAGGAGGGGCGGCTGAGTGCCTGGCTGGCATTCCCTAGTGGGAAGGAGATAAAAGCTCCGACTGTGCTGAACCCCAGACCCGACAGTGCTGAACCCAAGTTCTAGGCCAGACCCTGGAGACCCAGGCTCAAACAGAGGGAGCCTGGGCTGTAAAGTGGAATCCTAGGGGAGCGGTGAAAGGCATAGCACCTGGAGGCATACACATTGCGCGCAGAGGATGGACTGTTGACTCTGCTGCTAGATTGCCCTGGCGGGAAGGAGACAAAGGCTCCGGACTGTGCTGGGCTTCAGTTCTGACTGCTCTGAACCCCAGTTCTAGGCCAGACCCCGGGGACCCAGGCTCATACAGAGGGAGCTGGGCTGTAAGGCGGAACCCCGGGGGAGCAGTTAAAGGAGGTCCCGAAGGCGCGCACATTGCGCACAGAGAAGGGATGGTTGGCTGTGCCACGGGATTGCCCTGGAGGGAAGGAGAACAAAGCTCCAGACTGCTCTGAATGCCACCTCCAACTCCACTTCCAACTGAACTGAACCCCAGTTCCTGACTCACTGGGGGAGAGCCTAGACTGTTTGGTAGCAGACGAAACTCGAGGACACCTTTCTCTCAGAGGTGCTTGCAGCGAGTACTGAAGGACCCTGGGGAATACTGAGACTCAGGAGCCGCATAGGGTGGGGCTGACAGAAGCCAAGGCTGTAGGCTCTACCCTGAAACTCCGCCCCATCCAAGCAGAGACTTTTAAGGCTACCATCTCAGGGAAGCTGCGAAAATGCTGAGACAAGAAAATAGATCACAAACGAAAGAAATGGAAGACAAAAAGCAACTGGATATAGAGTTCAAATCTACGCTTACAAGGTTTTTCAACAATTTCCTAGAAAAGGTCGATAAGACCTTTGAGGATATGAAAAGGGATCAACTAGAATTAATAAAGGATCAACTAGAAATAATAAGGGATCAACAAGAAATAAAGAATACATTGTCTGAAATAAAAAATATTTTACAGAGTCCTAAAAACAGAAGGGAAGATCGCAAGAATCAAGTCAAAGATTTGGAACATAAAGAGCCAGAAGACACTCCTCCACAGAAGCTAGAAGGCAAGAGAATCCAGAAAATTGAAGATAATGTAAGAAACCTCTGGGACAATTTCAAGCGAACCAACATCAGAATTATGGGGGTCCCAGAAGATGAGAGAGAGCAAGATATCGAAAACATACTGAAAGAAATAGTGACAGAAAACTTCCCCCACCTGGAGAAAGAATTAGACTTACAAGTCCAGGAAGCGCACAGAACTCCAAACAAAAGGAATCCAAAGAGGACCACACCAAGACAAATCATAATTAAAATTCCAAGAGCAAAAGACAAAGAGAGAATATTAAAAGAAGCAAGAGCAAAGAAGGTAGTTACCTATAAAGGATCACCTATACGATTGTCAGCTGACTTCTCAACAGAAACCATGCAGGCCAGACGGGAATGGCAAGAAATATTCAAGGTGATGAATAGTAAGAACCTACAGCCAAAGATAATCTATCCAGCAAAGCTATCACTCAGAATCGAAGGTCAGATAAAGAGCTTCACTAATAAAAAAAAGCTAAAGGAGTTCATCAACACCAAACCAGACTTATATGAGTTGCTGAAGGGGGTTCTTTCAGAAGAGAAAGTAAACAAAGATAAAAATTATGAACAACAAATATGTAACTATCAACAAGTGAATCTAAAAACCAAGGAAATTAAAAAAAAAAAATCTGATGAACAATAGTAACTGTTGAATATAATAGAATCAGAGGTATGGAAGGGGAGTGAACTGACGATTCTTGGGGAAAAGGGGAGAGGGGGATGTGGGAAGAGACTGAACATAAACTGTGCACCTATGGATGAGGACAATGGGGAGTGGGGAAAGAGCAGAGGGTGGGGTGGGAACCTGGTGGAGGAGAGCAATGGTGGGGGGGGGGAAGGAACATTTGTAATAATATGAACAATAAAAACTTATTTAAAAATTAAAAAAAATAAATAAATAAAATAAAATAAAAAAAAAAAAAAAAAAAAAAAAGAAAATGCTGAGACAAGAAAATAGATCACAAACGAAAGAAATGGAAGACAAAAAGCAACTGGATATAGAGTTCAAATCTACGCTTACAAGGTTTTTCAACAATTTCCTAGAAAAGGTCGATAAGACCTTTGAGGATATGAAAAGGGATCAACTAGAATTAATAAAGGATCAACTAGAAATAATAAGGGATCAACAAGAAATAAAGAATACATTATCTGAAATAAAAAATATTATACAGAGTCCTAAAAACAGAATGAAAAATCGCAAGAATCAAGTCAAAGATTTGGAACATAAAGAGCCAGAAGACACTCCTCCGCAGAAGCAAGAAGGCAAGAGAATCAGAAAATTGAAGATAATGTAAGAAACCTCTGGGACAACTTCAAGCGAACCAACATCAGAATTATGGGGGTCCCAGAAGATGAGAGAGAGCAAGATATCAAAAAAATACTGAAAGAAATAGTGACAGAAAACTTCCCCCACCTGGGGAAAGAATTAGACTTACAAGTCCAGGAATTGCACAGAACTCCAAACAAAAGGAATCCAAAGAAGACCACACCAAGACAAATCATAATTAAAATTCCAAGAGCAAAAGTCAAAGAGAGAATATTAAAAGCAGCAAGAGCAAAGCAGGTAGTTACCTATAAAGGAGCACGTATACGATTGTCAGCTGACTTCTCAACAGAAACCATGCAGGCCAGATAGGAATGGCAAGAAATATTCAAGGTGATGAATAGTAAGAACCTACAGCCAAAGATAATCTATCCAGCAAAGCTATCACTCAGATTCGAAGGTCAGATAAAGAGCTTCACTAATAATAAAAAAAAAAAGCTAAAGGAGATCATTATCACCAAACCAGAATTTTATGAATTTTATGAAGGGGGTTCTTTCGGAAGAGAAAGAAAATAAAGATAAAAACTATGAACAACAATACATAACTATCAACAAGTGAATCCTAAAAACCAAGGAAATTAATAAAAAACCTGATGAACAATATTAACTGTTGAATATAATAGAATCAGAGGTATGGAAGGGGAGTGAACTGACGATTCTCGGTGAAAAGGAGAGAGGGGGGTGTGGGAAGAGACTGAACATAAACTGTGCACCTATGGATGAGGACAATGAGGGGTGGGGAAAGGGCAGAGGGTCGGGTGGAAACCTGGTGGAGGAGAGCAATGGGGGGGGGGGGTGGGGGGAGAGGAACATTTGTAATAATATGAACAAAAAAGATTTACTTTAAAAAATGTTGATATTGTTAGGTTGTTAACATTCATATTCTACTATGGGGAGTCTTCCATAGTCTGTTGGTTGCCTCTAAAACTTGAAAACAATGTTTATATCAATCTTATTAGGTTACCAGATGGATGTGTTGGTGTAGAGTGCCTTAATGCCAGAATGACTGTTTTCAGTAGCAATCACATATTAAAAACTGCAATAATAAATTCAGATTTTTTTTCACAGATCTGATGATAAATACTTACAGCTTTTATTTATCAGTTATGTATATATAATTTTCAGTTTTAATTGATATTTTTCCTACATATAGAATTATGGGCTGATCTATTTTTTTTTTTTTTTTTTTTATGCCAGCATTTTGAAGATATCATTTCATTGTAACCTGGTCTTCATTGTTTCTAATAAGTAGTTAGGTAACACTCATATCTACTCCTGTGCCTGTGAAGTTTAGTTTTTCTCTGGCTGCTTTCAAAATCTTATCATTACCTTTGATTTGTAGCAGTTTGATCGTGGTGTGTCTAGGCATGGGGTTGTTGTTTTTTTGGTATGTCCTGTGTGGTTCACGGAACTTTTATTTTTTAAAAATATATTTCTTTATTGATTTCAGAGAGGAAGGGAGAGGGAGAGAGAGAGATAGAAACATCAATGATTAGAGAGAATCATTGATTGGCTACCTACTGCATACTGGGGATTGAGCCTACAACCCGGCCATGTGCCCTTGGCCAGTATCAAACCTGGGACCCTTCAGTCTGCAGGCCGGTGCTCTATCCACTGAGCCAAACCTGCTAGGGCATGAACTTTTAGATTTATAGGTTGCTTTACACCAAATCTGGAAACATTTTGGCCATTATTTCTTAAGAGATTTTTTTTCTGTTACATTCTCTCTCTCTCTCTCTCTCTCTCTCTCTCTCTCTCTGTACTCCAATTACATGCAAACTGTCACTTGATATTGCCTCACAAATGTGAGGCTCTGTTCAGTTTTCAAAAGTAACTTTCTTGTTCTTCAGATTGAATAATTCCTATGGACCTGTATTCAAGGGACCCTTTCTTTTCTGTCATTCTCAATGTTTTATGTTTAATGCCACATATATATTTTCTTATCAGATACCACTCTTTAGTTCTTGAATTTCCACTTGATTATTTTAATCTGTCAATATTTCCTTTACATACTTATAAAATCTGCTTACTTATAATATATGCTTAAAAATCCTTGTCTACTACTTTCTCTATCTGGGTCACCTTGAGATATATTTCTATTGACTGCTTTATTTCCTTTATTAAGGGTCATCATTTTTTGAGTCTCCACATGTTTAGAAAGTTTTGATTGCATGCTAGCTATTGTAATGTTATATGGAAAGAAGTCTGATTATGTTTAAACTCGACACTTATTCTGGTACGCAATTAATTGCAACTAGACAAAATTTAAAAATTGCTCTATAAGTACATCATGTCTAGAAAGAAAAAAAATGGTGATTTATATATAAAAAGGAAAGACATTATAAGTATTTTTTTTTTTTTAGTAGAACAGAAAACTTACTTTAATAAAGCAAAATCGCACAAACTTCTCAAATTGTGATTTGGTCTCTTTGTTACAGAATGCTGAAACTGGGATGGCTGAGAGTTTCTAAAAAATAAACAGGAAATAAAATAAGAAAACTAGTTACATTTCGCAAATTAATCCTAAACATTAGAAAAAATTGATACTTCTAAGTATTCATAACAATTTCAGGGAAAAAAGAGATTAAAAAATTCTCCAAATAGGCACTTGTGGAATATCATGTAATAAAACTATAGTTAACATTGTTCAAAGCATGTCAGCAGGTCTCCTTCATAAATTAACTATAAAATACAGCATGATATTGCAAAGGCCAATAACTTTTACCTTATTTTTAGTCATCCATTTCACAAATTTATAGTCATAAGGTTCATTGCTGTTCTTCATATCAGAAAGGTCTGCATCTAAAACAATGAAAATTAGATAACCTATGTATTACACCTGAGCCAACATGTATTTAATTTAAGCCTGCTAAATTCAAATTTTTCTTGTGAGATATTCACAAAATCTGCTAAAGTCTCATATTGCACATGATGGAGTGGAAAGCGAGATGCCACAGATTAGCTTTAACTATACTCTAAGGCAGTACTCAAATTGCATTTGATTGATCATATTTGTGCATACACCCCTTAGCCCTGGAAGAGAGTAGAAAGGGGAAGAAAAGAAGTATTGCCTTTCCACCTAGAAATAATATAAAAGTTTGTGATCATTATTAAGAAAATAGCATCTAAATTTATATTCATCATAACATTTATGCCAGCAAAAAGCATTGGCAAAGGAAAAGTGTCTGTATTACAATCTACCATTATCCCTAAATCCTAGGTTAGTGTCTAGCATATAAGCAATAAAAAGCGTATTTGTTGAATGAGTAGGCTAATATTATTCACTACAGGCCCAGTGCATGAAATTCATGCGTGGGTATGGTCCCTAGGCCTGGCCTGCAATCAGGGCCATCTTCCCGGGCTACCTGCAGCCATCCCTGCCACCCACCCTGGTTCCCTGTTCGCCATTGGGTGATGGGAGCCTGCTGGCCAGGGAGAGGGACTGAGAGGTCAGTTGTTTCCCCCGATTGGCCAGCTCCAACCCCATCACGGGTTGCCCTCTGTGTGTGGCGTGACTGTTGGGGCGGGGCCTTGGCCTGGCGCTGCCCGTGTCCCCAACCTCCCACCCTTGGCTCCTCATTTGCCATTCGGTGATGGGAGCCTTGTGGCTGGGGAAAGGGACTAAGAGGTGATCAGTGCACCTCATAGTGACTGGTTGAGTGATCGTTCTGCTGTTAAAGTCCATTTGCATATTACCCTTTTATTATATAGGATTGTAAAGGGAAAAATATCTGTGTTGATCTTCCAAGTGATATCTTCTATTGTTTATCTCTTTCTTACTCACATTATGTTTTAAAAAAATGTTAAATTTGGGGAAAATATGTATTCCTATTCTTATGTCTTGCTCCAATCTTGCTTTAAGGTCTGGGCTAGATATTTCTCTGGCATTTAGCTTCAGCAATTTATATTTCATATTGTTTCAATTTCATTGATTTGTACTCTTAGATCATTTTGAATGGCAGAAAGCTATTTTGATGATGACTATAATCATTGAAATTTTATAATTTATTGTTCAAAACAGATTGAGACAGTTTCCTTTCTTTGTTTCTCCTCACTGAATACTACTGGGTCTCTTCACTTAATGGTGTAAAAACCTTGACATTGAAGAAAGTTTCACTTATATTTAAAAAAAAAATCCTAATATGTTTTTACTTAATGATTTTTATTTCTAATCTCCCCTGTGCTTTCAAGATCATAACAATCTCATATAATAATGCTAATAATATATGCTACCACTTATTGAGCATTTACTATTTGCTAAGCATGTTTGATAATTCTCTCATTTATTTGTCTTACAATTCTAAGAGTTAGCTATAATCTTCACTTTATAGATGAGGAAATTAAATTACTATTTCAAGTATTTCACATATATGTATATGTAGTTAATTATTTCATTGTATGTAGTTAAGTATTTCACATATATATATGTAATCAAGTGTTTCATATATATGTATATGTAGTTAGTTCATTTTTGGCTCTAACAAAAAAGGTCACTTTGAAAAGTTAAGTCTAACTGTAAATTATGTGAAAACTCCATGTGATAAGTATACAATAGTATTGTATTCAAAGGTAACCCAGAGAAAGGAGTGATGACCTATAGCAATAGGAGGAAGTAAAGGAGGATATTAATTAACTGCAATTGATACTAGCTGTACTACTTGTTCTAGTAAAGCTTAGAAAAGAGGAATTCATTGCTGTAGCGCTTAAAAGGAAAGAAGGGAATAAATATAATTCTAAATATTTGATAGTTATTAGAAACCTAGAATCTATTTCTTTTGAAAACTTAAGTCAGAATTCCTCAAATAAACTAAAAATATTTACTAAAAATATTTCCTCAAATAAACTAAAAATATTTACTAAAGAACCATATTATAATAGCATTTGGGTATTTATGTAATCTATGAAAATCAAAATTGGTTTTTGTATTCCCATTATCTCTTCAATAATTTTGGACCTTACTATCCCACTAAAACAACTGTAATAATCTTCTACTTGTCATCTTATCTTCTAATCAAATGTTTCCATTTTTAGTTCTAGGATGAAGGTCAATGTCTAGAGAGCTGCTTAGTATGGCAGAAAAAAAAAAACACCACAGTTCCTTGGTGAGGGCATGGATCTCAGGTTTCAGAGCCCAGCTCTGCTACTTATTAGTTGATTAACTTCAGGAAATTTCTTGATTCTCTATTTCATTTTTCTCACATATCAATGAGGATATAATAGCACCAATCTCATTGGTCTTTAGTGAGAATATGACATTGTTGTGGAGCAAAGGTGAGTGAATGACCACTGGAGTCCAGAACAAATTAAAATTGAGGGAGCCTTTATTAGCCGGTGACTGCTCTGCCTTTCTCCATGCAGGAAGTCCAGAAAGCAGCAGCGACTCTTTGTGTAGAATCGCTTTTAAGCCTATTTACCACACCCTGTTTTTGCAGAACAAGCAACCCAAGACAAAACAGTTTTTCTAAGCAACATCAGGATCATGCCATTGATGACCATGTTATTTACAGGGTCATCCTGTTCTTCAGAAAGCTGACAGTGTTCTGTGCTGGGAAGGGGCCATGAGACCGTATCTCAAGGCCTGGCCTGGTGTCAGCACTGACAACTCTATCTGGGGCATAGTCCACGGCCTCAGTAGTACTCAAAAATTCCCACTCTCTAACAACATTTGTAAGGCTCTTAGGATAATACCTACTATATCATAAATGCACAAAAATATTAACCAGTTAGTGATTGCTATGAATTTTAAAGGGAAGTCATTACTATGTTCAAGTACTTTATGGTTGTTTTTATTTTCAAGCTACTATCAAATGAGTGTTGTTGTCTTTAGTATATGGTGGAACTGCCTCTAGTACATGGAAGAATTTTTACATTCAAATTAATCTGAGCAAAGATGAACGAGTAAAATAAAAGAAACTTGTCTTCATATATATTAATAGAAGAGTCTTAGAGACATTACATTTCCCCCCACAAGTGAAGGAGGACAATGAAAAAGAAAGTTTTCTTTTTTCCATCATTACAAAAAGTTTTCTAACCAAAATCCTTTCTGTTCTTATTACAACCACACTAGTTCAAGATCTAAGACTTAAACTAGTATTTTATGCAGGACTAATTGACTAAATATAGAATGGGAAACTGTTTAAGAGTTTAATGCAAAATATACAAGCAAAAGTTGCATCATTGTCCTTTTGATGTTCAATATCACAATGTGTTAAATTCTTTTTAGGATTTACTATCTCAAAAAGTTTGGTTTCAGGAAAGAATTATTCTCATCTAAAAAGTTGTTGGGCTTCCTTTTATTCAACAGTTATGTAACTAATTCCATTTGCTGCTGCAAAGTTTGGTCTTGAGTTAATAATACCAATTACAATCTGGGTTGCAAAACCCAGATCACTCAGCAATAATAATAATATCAACTTTTATGCCAGGCATTGGTCTTTTGATGCAGAATCTTAGGAAATCTTCCTTCCCATAACCCTACAAGGAAGGTATCACTTTTATCCCCTTTTTATGAATGAGGAAGTTGCAGCTTAGATACAGTTAATAACATACTCAACTGCCATGGCCAGCACTTGGCATAACTAGAATTCAAAGTCAGATCTGTTGACCTTTTAGGTTGGATAGTAAATGAAATACTTTTAATCTGAGTTAATTCAAACTCTTTTGGAGAGCAGATAAAGTATAAATTAATTTCTTTTCAATAAACTAATTCTTGTTTAATATTTTGTGGCTTTCTAATTTAAAGTGAAAATATAATTAGTGAAAACTGTGCTATTTCTTTTTATCATTTCATGAAATGAGTTGCACATTTAGACCAAATAAAAGAAAAGTGATCTCAGAACCTCAGAGTATAGGAGCTTAAGAACCTGGCAAATTTATAAAATTTGGTATATACAAAAGGTTTTCAAGTTCAGTGGCATATAGCTTCATTGTAATAGAGCCTTAAAACATTTAAAACTACATATTTAAAATAGTTATAATTTTTGTCTGAATAAATTATGCTTTATTAAGTTTAGTATTAATATTATAGTTTTTTTTTGAAGAAAAATGTTATCATGCTTCTAACTTCCTATTTGTATGGCATGTCAGGATTACAATAGCTTCATATAATACTTTCAGAAACAAGTTATTGGGAATCTAACCGTGTGAATTCAGACAAGTTAGTTAAAACTTTCTAAGTCTTCGTGTCTTTAAACATGGAGCTGAATGCTTCTTCAAAAGCATGTTTGAAAGTCCCAGGCATGTAATAGGACCTCAATTAATATTATTTTCCTTCTTTACTTCATTTCAGTATATTCTAATGTGGCAAATAATCCTGATGGCATCGACAGTTTAGAAATCTTATTTTTCTCAAGTAAAAATGGAAACTAAAATGTTACTCAAAGGAGCACAGGTTACATACTTGATTTCAGTGTTTTATGTTACACACCAGACCAGATGACAGCAAATTCTATGTTTAAGAGAACACTTACAACAACTGGCTCCATAATCACGTAAAACCAGTCACATGTAAGGTCAAGGACCTAAAAGTTCACATGACTGTAGAAAACACTGACATTGTGAAAGTCATTTTTTCAAAGATAAAATGATGATAGGGCTTCGACACCAATCTTTTCTCTGTAATTCTGATATAAAGTCACACATACATTTCTATATATTTGAAATTATGAAAACCTTTACAAACCTAACAAAGACACGTCAGCAATGATGAAGTAGCCTCCATCAGGAACTACAGGTTTTAGGCCAACATTTTCAAGTAGATGTGCCATCCTATCTCTTTTTGCTTCCAACTCTTTTGGCAAAGAATTAAAGTAACACTCTGGGTCATCCATGCGCTTCATATCAATCCAAAAGGCTTGAGCCAAGGCTTCCTGTACGTTAAGATTAAAAAATGTGAAAAGGAAATATGGTAACGTTACTTATTACTGAGTTTAATAAATAAAGACTGAGTAACAATGTTATTGGCAAAAAGTCATTCAGAGAATTATAGCTGAATTCCTGTGAGCCTATATTAAACTCTACTGATTACTGGAAGAATCAGTTACACGTAAATGATTGAGTCTAATGTGAAGAACTGAGAATAAGTCATGAAATCCCCTAATTGAAAGAGACATTATGTAAAGATGACACCTGGAAATGAAAAGACATGTTATTTTCCATTGAGGTGAGCTGTAGAATGACTTGTTAGACCCGCGCCTGAAAGACTGGAGAAATGACGGACTAGCCAGCCTTTCCTATTTCCTTGGAGGACGAAGCGGAAATGAAAACCAACCTGCTGTGTTATTTCTCAGAGGTGTGCGAGTCCCTGTCCTAATCATGCGCACCCCCCAAAGTGGTCTAAGGCCAGTGGGGTTAGAAACAAGTTTCTTGGGCATGTGAGTGGCTTCCCTACCCTTCTTCAGGAAAGTCAGACACAGGGGAGAAATTGGGCCCAGAGAAAAGCCAACGCCATTAGCAGGTGCCTGAAAGGCAATAGGTCAGGACCAGGTACACACGTCTGACTCAGGGCATGCATAAAGAACATGGACCTAGCCATGCAGGAGGGCCAAAGCGTGGTGGGCAAGTGTGAACTGGGACGACGTAGAAATATTGGTTCTCAGAGCCAACCAGGAGATCCAAGCAACTAAGCAAGAACTTGGGATAGTTAAGAGATAGAAGGGCAGAGCAAAGTGGCCAACTTTTAAGGAAATTAATCACAAGCAATATCAAGAACTAAAGGGCACGTGGAATTACTCAGTAAATTACCTGAGCTTTGTTAAAATTGGTATTGTGATGAATGCTGGGGCTGAAATGATAAACAAGATAAACATGGTCCTTGCCTTTATGAAGCTTCCAATCAATGTGTATTGATGAGGGCAGGGAGAGAGAAGAGACAGAAACGATTACAGGATGTGATTTGTTATTCCAGAAGAGCTGAGAGAAGTCTAGTGCCATTGAGGGTAGGTGGCAAGAGATGATAGAGAGACAGAGAAGGGTTAAATCACAGAGAAGACCTCCTGCCAAAAGAATTCAGCAGGAAAAAAAATAATCATTCCCCAGTACTAAAAAACAAACAGAACTTGGATAAATAAGGATAGGTTGCTTCAGCCTAAGAATCTGTGGTTCTGCGAGAAACTTGGGCCAGTTTCCAAACATGTTTGTCTGAAGGCATGGGGGAAAAAAAATCAAGCCACTTTGCTGAAATGGAGAATAAGATGGTTCTAAAAAAGGTGTTCTGGATTCTTAGCCGAATCTTCCTTTTCCTTAGCAACGTATTCATTCCCCTATAGCAGGAGAGATTGCCCTAGAAAATTCAAAGCTCAGGAGACATAAACCTCTCTCCTAACTAGAATTATACTGGACTCCTCTCTCTTACAACCCACGTGTGATCCATCGGCATTTACCTTCAAAATATATTCAGAACCAACCCCTTTTCACCACTTCTATCGTCCCTATATTGGTTCAGTCCACTGCTGTCTCTCTCCTCGATCACTTCAACAGCTTTATACCAGAAGCCCTGCTCAAAGAGGACACGAAGGAGATAACTAAGGCCAATCAAACACACAACGTAAAGGTAACACCTTCACTGAAAGACCGTGCCTCAACCCCGAGTTACCATAACACCTACCTGTAAAGGAGTTGCACAGGTATAGAGGCTGTTTTGTTGAACTGTCTGTAAATGTTTAATTAAATGATATGGACCAATGGACCAGCCAAGCTGGAAAAGGAACAGAGAAAACCAAATTTCAAAAAAATCAATCTAATTGTATGTATCAAATCTAATAAAGTAGATAAGCTTAATGCAATTATTAAATATATTCAATTCAAAATTGTTCACACTATGAAAGTAACTCAGCTTTAGAATCAGTTCAACACTTCTTTTTGTGTAAAAGTTTCCAAATGGAGTTACTAAGCTCTGCTCTCAGAAGGTAAATAGTCCCTGCAATCATTATTATCTTTTTCTCTTCTAGTTTGCTGCTTCTGATATTCTGCAGGTCTAAACTATTGTACCAAAGCTTGTTTGAACTACATATAGATTAAAGTAACTATGAATGAGGGCCTACGGGATTCTTCCACTATTTGGTTTTGCAGGCATCTGTTTTTGTTTTAATTACTTTTTTATTTTGAGATAATTGTAGATTAATATGCAGTTGTAAGAAAGAATATAAATTCCTTCTACTCTTGACCTAGTTTTACCCAATGGTGACATCTTGCCAATAGAATACTGCCATTGACACAGTCAAAATATAAAATAACTTATCATCACAAGGATCCTTTGTGTTGGCCTTTCATGCCCAGATATACTTCTCTTCCCCCCACCCCATCTGTATCTAGTCCCTGGCCTCTCAGCCATGGTTAGGAGATGTGAGATTTGAAGATAATCAAGTTTCGACTGGATAAATTGTTGTGCCTCAGAGTGCAGTGGCTAAGTGCATACATTTGGAAGTCAGTTTGCAAGCCCTGACTTGAATTTATTAGCCGTGTAACCTTAGGCAAGTCCCTCAACTTCTCTGTGCTTTTAGTTTTATTGTCTTTAAAATGGAAATAGATTATATGTACCTCATAATGTGGTTATGAGAATGAAAGGAATATGCACATATAAAGCATCAAGAAGCCAGCACATAATATAAGTGCCAAAATATTGCTATTAGCATTTGTTCTCCTTTTATTTGAATAGGCAGCAATCTGAACATTCTTTGCAAAGAAAAATGTGTCATTAGTTGGTTACTTATAAAATAATTACCTATGTTTTCTTACTTAAAAGAAATTATTAGATCCCAAAGAAAACAAAGGCCAAAATGAAGGCTGAATGAGTAAATTATAAGCAAATAATCAGTAAATATAAAAATGTATAAACTAAATATATGTTCATTTAAAACACACAAAAATCTACAAGATATAAAGTACATGCCTATTGTTAAGCAATTAAATTCCTCATCTTACCTTCCAGCCAGTTACACTGAAAGTCTTTCCAGCACTTCCTATGGTTATTGTTCTCTCCCACATACCTGGAAAAGTGGCTGAAGAGGAAAAAAAAAAAGTTAAATGATTGCTTTCCAATCAATCTATATTTTGTATAATATAAAAATATAAATGTTATCATAGTACAGTCAGTATTGTTATAGGCTTTCAATAGGCTTTTTTAAAGACAAAGTAACTTTAACTCAAACACAGTTGAAAATGTTACAATGCTTGAAAACATTATATCACAGCAAAATAATATGTAATAGATTGATTCATTTAAAGTAGCAAAATTAGCCAAAACCAGTTCGGCTCAGTGGTAGAGCGGTCTGTTGACTGAAAGGTCCCAGGTTCGATTCTGATCAGGGGCATGTACATTGGCTGCGGGCACATCCCCAGTAGGGGGCGTGCATGAGACAGCTGGTGGATGTTTCTCTCTTATCGATGTTTCTAGCTCTCTATCTCTTTCCCTTCCTCTCTGTAAAATATCAATAAAATATATTAAAAAAATAAAGTAGCAAAATTATTGCCAGGGGCTGGAGTGGCAGAAATGCCAGTAGGCAGTGTTCTAGGCTGGTTTGGTATATTGGTCACACAAGCTGTGGCACCCAGCGTTAAGAGTAGCTGTGTGTTAGTATAATATAATCATTCCATAGCCCATTTTGGTTGTACTCCTGGCTGTTGTTTAGCTCACCTCTCTTCTGCTCATTTTCTTTTTATTAAAAAATATATTTTTATTGATTTCAGAGAGGAAAGAAGAAGGAGAGCTAGAAACATATATAGAAAGGAATGAAGAGTGAGAGAGAGATGGAAATAATCAATAATGAGAGAATTATTGATCAGCTGTCTCTTGTATGCCCCCTACTGGGAATTGAGCCCACAAGGGGGGGGGGGCATGTGCCCTTGCTGGAATTGCATCCGGGACCCTTCAGGTCTGCAGACTGACACTGAACCAAACCAGTTAGGGCTAAGCTGTTTTCTTAAAGTAATCTTCTCAAGCTTACTAAAATGTAAAGTAGCTAAAGAAATTTCCAAAATGAATGTATACATAGTTTCAGTCTATCATGAAACACCTGCCAGTATTTGTAAAGATAGGAAAACAATGTAAGTCAGAAAAGTATAATTGTATTCTTTGTGGAGTATAACAAAAACGTAAAGATAAATAAATATTCAGAGTCCATTAGAAGAAGGAATATCCTAATATTGTACATAAACAATTATAGCCCTTCAAGTTCTGAGTTCTGAGACAGTTCTAGACTTCCACAGTATTTCAAAGAATACCATGACACATGTGCCACCTCCTATTGGACCAGAGCAAATCTAAACTACGCATAATGCAGAGTACCACTCTCCTTATGTAATAATACATATCCAAAATCAGAAAGGCCTATTAGTAACAATATTTAGATAAAATCTTTGAAAAAAAATTATTCAGAGAAATAAACACAATCCTAATATGTTTTCACTGTAAGTTACATATGACAGAAATTAAAGAGTACTCCTGTCAAATGTAGGTTTCATACACAATATCAAATCTAATTTAGTATTTCAAAGGAAAGCTAATTTGTTGGTGCCTATGTTAGCCATAAAAAAGTGGATGTAAGCTGATCAGATAAATAGCTTACAAATAATTTTACACTGATTTCCCAAATCTTAATAGGTTAGGATACAAATATCAGGGTATTATCCTATCTCTTCCATAAGAGAGGTTTCTTTTGTTGACTGAAATGTATTTTTTACAGAAACCTGGAGATATCATTTGAATCAAGAGTCTGATCCAATTGGGATAAAATCCACTCTTTCAATAAAAGAAGCCCTAAGTAATTTAAAAACATCTAGATGTTCATGTCCTCTCAATCTCAGAGATTTGGGAGCCACCGAAGTTAATGTAAACAGATGACCACAGCACTGAGTGTGACTATAGTAACCAGAGGCAAAAAATAAAAAATAAGTCTTTGCAGATCTGATGATTTAAAAAACTATATCCGGTATCAGTGAGTTTAGCTTGCAGTTACGTCTGAAAGGCAACTGGTCTTTGCACCTCGCATTTAGGACGCGTGATCCTTAAGGAAGCCACAGCAGCTGTAACAGTTACTCACAGGCAACTTGGGCTTCAATGGAAGTCAGATAAAGGTTAGAGGCGCGATGAAGAGCACCACACCAGGATAATGGTCTCTGTGCCATGAAGAGGATGCTAATCTCATGATGTGTGGCTACAGAGCCTTACTGTGTTATATCAAAGAGCTACTATTGCACTCTGAAAATTGATGGAATAGCCATTTTGTATCTTTCATGTAACAAAGGCCACTGTATTTGATAGAATAAGTTTTCATGCAACCGAATTACTCTCTAAATAATGAAACAGTGAATTCATTTTTTCCATGGTTTAACTTTATGGGCTGTTGTAACAACTAAAAAAATCTGAGTTAAAAATATATGTCTTGTTATCTCTAGCAAATAATATTATTAAAACAATAATATTAGATATGTCTTATTATCTCTAGCAAATAATACAATGTTACCACGAAGGGCTTCTCAAATAACATAAGGTGTAAATATAACACAGGTTTTAAAATGATTTCAAGTAATCTTTGAGACAATATTGCTAAATGAAGTTAACTAAAACACTAAAGCTTTGAGTCATTCTCACATAGACATGAACATGGTTTAGGATGAATATAAAATTACTAGAGGCCCAGTGCATGAAATTCATGTACCTCATCCCAGCCTGCACCCTCTCCAATCCAAGACCCCTTAGGGGATGTCTGACTGCCAGTTTAAGTCCAATGCATGTGAGCCTGCACCCTTTCCAATCCAAGACCACTGGCTCCTAACCACTCACCTGCCTGCCTGCCTAATGCCCCCAACTGCCCTCCCCTGCTGGCCTGGTCACCTCCAACTGCCCTAGACTGCCGGCCTGATCACCCCTAACTGCCTTTGCCTTGGCCCTCACCACCATGGCTTTGTCTAGAAGGAAGTTGGATGTCTGGTTGACCCAGTCTAATTAGCATATTACCCTTTTATTAGTATAGATATTTATTCATTATGCAGATACCTTTCCCTGTCTGCTTAATCTAAACAAAACTTAGTAACTTTAACAAAATAATCTAATTAATTAAACAGAATCATTTTATTTAAAATACTTATTTTAAATCAATCAAATAAACTTGAAATCATTTAACATAAAATAATTAAATACCAATTTAATAAAAATTAATCTAAAAGTATCTACCCAAAAGTTAATTGTCCACATTGGCTGGAATAGTTCACATGGCCCAAAACAGAGGTCAGCAACAAGACAGGTGAAGGTGAACTCTGATGCAATTTTGACACAGAATCACAGTTTGCTTTTGGCTTTCTATATTTAACATTCTACCTCCTAATTTGATCCTGATCAGCAGGCCTATAATTTCACTTGCCTTCAGACATTTGTGTCTTATAGACACTAAAACTTAGTAAAACTTAAGCATGAGTAGCAGGAATTTCCTTGGTTCAACTCCTCCCCACAGATCTGTTCTCCCGTCTCCATGTCCATCTTCAATGCAGGGCCTCATCCCTGCTGAGTGGTCCAGGCTGCAGATCTCAGAATCATTCTTGCTTGTTCCCTTCCCACATTTTAACGTTATACTCTGTGCTGTGGAGTTTCCCCTTCTAAACAGTATGCGTTTGTCATCTCCACTACCAGGGCCTCTGACTGACTGATGATCCTCACTCGCAGCTGGTTCTTACCTTTTTAAAACAAATCCAATCATGTAATCGGTTCCCCTGCCTTGCCACACCTTTTGCAGTAGTTCTCAAAGTGTGCTCCCTGGTACTCTCTCTGGTGATCAAATTAATGTGTAGAACTTAAAAAAAAAAATCAACTAGGTTTTCCTCAACAAAATTGTATGAAGCACTTAAGATAAATGCTAGCATTTATCTAATAGTGAGTGCTACCAATTGTGAAACAAATGAGCATTTACTAAATGAATATTAATGCCAATATCAGAAAACCTCAAACGTGTTTATTTCAATAGCTCTTTGTTATGAAAAAATATGCACAGAATTTTTATTCCATGATTTTTACATTGAACTCTAATTATTTAATTTCTGCCAGGAAAATTGCTTCTAGTTTCAGGGGTGGAATGCAATATATCACTATTTCATGATACAGACATTGTGGCTTCAAGGTGTTCTACCACTGACGTAAGTTTCAGAACCACTGACCTATAAACAATAATACATATAAATGGAGCCATTTTAAAATGGAGCCATAGTTGCCTTGTCAGAGGAACTGCCTTGCATGTCTCATGCCTCAAAAGTTTTGGAATGGTAAAAACAGGACAAAATAACCTTTGGGCTGGGCTTAAGCAAACGTGTGTCCCAAAGAACTGTTTTCAAAGATAATGAGGAATTAGTTATTAAGGCTACTGGACTAATGACTACTGAAAATGAACATTGCTGGTTAAAATTAACATGCTGTGTGTACCAATAGGAATGCCTTTCTTCTGCTGATGTAAGAACTCCCCTTCCCTTTCTCATCAATGCCCATTGCCTTTGTCTCCTAATAGAACTTTATTGGGGCTTTCGCCTGAATTAATGATTCCAGAATAGCTATTCTTATTCATCTCAGTAAATGCTTGTTGTCTCTCATTTTGAAAGACAGTTTTATTTTTACACTCCTCAACAGTTTACTCTATTTTCATATATAAGGTCCCTCAGAATCACCCTATTTTCCCACTGTCATACCTGCCAGTCACTATAACAAATCCTTAGAAACCACTGATCTTTCTTAAGTTTATCTTGATCTTTCATGCCTTTTTTGCCACAGAACTGTAAGTTTATCTGGTAGGGATGTTCTTCCTACTTCCATCCTTTGTTGAGCCCCACAAACATTTGCTTTCCCCTCTATCTCTACAGCAGTTTGTAATGCACCGTAGGGGTGATTATAATGCTGGAAATACATATTTATATATAAGTATACTTTTTAATTATTGGTTTCTACCATAGTGATTTTAGTTATCCTTCCTTCAACCTGTTCATACCTCCTATTCATTTATTCAACAACTAATTTCTGATTGTCTACCATGTGCAAGACCCTATACTGGGAATGGAAGATTCAGACACCCAAACAAACAGAAATCCCTTCCTTCTTGTAGAAGTAAAACACATAGATCCTGGTATTTGCTATGGAGGAAAAATCAAAACAGAACAGAAAAAAGACAAAAGACAAAGTACTGGGAGTAGAGGTGTAACTGTGGCCCAAAAAATTGACCCTTGAATAGAGACCTGAGGGAGGTGAGAGACTGAACTCTGTGTACTTCGGAGGGAAAAGTGTTTTCATACATAGGAAGGGCAAGTGCAAAGAGTTCATAAAAATTTGGGTTACCCCAGAACAGTGGTCGGCAAACTCTTTAGTCAACAAAGACAAATATCAATAGTACAATGATTGAAATTTCTTTTGAGAGCCAAATTTTTTAAACTTAAACTATATAGGTAGGTACATTGTTATTAACTTAACTAGGGGCCCTGTGCATGAAATTCATGCATTGGGGGGGGGGGGGTTGTCCCTCAGCCCAGCCTGCACCCTCTCCAATCTGGGACCCTTCTCACAATCCAGGACTAAACATGCAGTAGGACATCCCTCTCACAATCCAGGACTGCTGGCTCCCAACTGCTCACTTGCCTTCCTTCCTGATTGCCCTTAACCACTTTTGCCTGCCAGCCTTATCACCCCCTAACCACTCCCCTGCCAGCTTGATTGATGCCTAACTGCTCCCCTGCCAGCCTGTTTGCCCCTAACTGCCCTCCCCTGCAAACCTAGTCACCCCTAACTCCCCTCCCCTGCAGGCCTGGTCCCCCTCAACAGCCCTTCCCTGCAGGCCCAGTCACCCCCACTTTCCTCCTCTGCCAGCCTGGTTACCTCTAAATGCCCTTCCCTGCAGGTTTAATCGCCCCCAACTGCCATCCCTTGCAGGCCTAGTCCCTCCCAACTGCCCTCCCCTGCTGGCCATCTAGTGGTGGCCATCTTGTGTCAACAGGGGGCAGGATCTTTGACCACATGGGGGCAGCTATCTTGTGTGTTGGAGTGATGGTCAATCTGCATATTACTCTTTTATTAGATGTGATAGAGCGGTGGTCGGCAAAGTGTGGCTTGCGAGCCACATGTGGCTCTTTGAACCCTTGAGTTTGTGGCTCTTGAGCTGCGGTTTGTCAACCACTGCGTTAGGACAATGATTTGACTGATACCTTAGAGCAGTGATTGGCAAACTGTGGCTTGCGAGCCACAAACTTAAGGGGCCAAAGAGCTGCATGTGGCTTGAGAGCTGCAGTTTGTCAACCACTGGGATAGAGGCCTGGTGCATGGGTAGGGGCCAGCTGAAGGGTGTCCTGAATCAGGGTGGGGTTTCCTTTGGGGTGTGGGGTGGCCTGGGCGAGGGGCCTGTGGTGGTTTGCAGGCTGGCCATGCCCCCTGGCGACTCAAGCAGAGGCATCTGGGATTTATTTATCTTCTATAATTGAAACTTTGTAGCCTGGAGTGGAGCCAAGCTTCCTGCTTGCTCCATGGATGAAGCCATTTCTGTTGGGATTTATTTATTTTCTATAATTGAAACTTTGTAGCCTTGAGCAGGGGAGGCCAAGGCAGGCCAGGGTTACAGAAACTTGGCTTCCTCCACTGCCAGGGGAAACCCAAGCCTCTTGCTCTCTCTAGCTCCGTGGCTACTGCCATTTTCATTGGGATTTGCCTTCTATAATTGAAACGTTGTAGCGTGGAGTAGAGGCCTAGGCTGGCCAGGGTGTGCAGAAAGCTTGGCTTCCTCCATTGCCGGAGAAACCCAAGCCTCCCTCCTGCTCTCTCTGTGGCAGCAGCCATCTTGGTTGGGTTAATTTGCATACTCACTCCTGATTGGCTGGCAGGCGTGTCTTTGTGGGTATAACAGAGTGGTGGTTAATTTGCATATCACTCTTTTATTAGATAGGATTGGGGTACTTTTAAGCTGGCCTTTGCTAAAAACTCAAGAGGCCAAAGAGCCTTTTTTGCCGACCACTGCCCCAGAAGACACCATGGCCTTTGTGAGATGGCCTAGTCATAGTGGCAAAGTCCAAGGCAAGGGCCAAGCAGCACTAGCTCACTGTTCCTATAATTTCTTCCTTTGACTTGGCAATTTGCTTGGCAGAGACTGTCCAGTTCAGGAACAAGTAAACTCCTATGTCTTATGTACCAAGTTAGAGCTGGATTCTTGATAAAAAGCCTCGGCTATACCAGTATTGCTTCTCTGGTTTCATAGTGTTTCTAGTGTGATCTAAAATCTCTCCCCTTAAGTATTGCACTGTCTGTCCTTCCATCTTCTCATTAACTCACTCAAGTACCACTTATTCAAATCTCTTGTGTAAGTACTTGTACAACACCCACTACAAAGATGATGTTAAAGCTGTTCTGGGATCCATCCCAATCGGTTGTTGCACACATGCCCACACACATTGAGGTTTGTAACTCTACATAAAGATCAGTACCTATTTTTAAATGCTTATTTCCAGAATACACAAGCCATTCATAAACCTCATCACTGATGCAGAGTGTGTCGTATTTGATGCAAAGGTCAGCAATTAGCTGGAGTTCTTCTTTGGTGTACACCTATGCATATTAAAGGGAACAAGTGCAGAGCAGTTATTCTTCACTGTGTGAGAAAACGAGGGATCAGAAGACTGTATAAAGAGATCAAAGACTCACTTACTTTGCCAATGGGGTTATGTGGAGTATTTAGTATAATAGCTTTGGTTTTGGAGTTGAATTTACTTGCCAGTTCTTTGGGATCCAAGGTCCAGTCAGAACTAGACCATTTTCTCCCATCAACAGGTTTCTAGGCATGAAGAATGAAGATGTGATTTAATTCAATTAATTCATGTTTGCTGTCTTACAAATAAATAACCTAATTAAAGAAAAAAAAGTCAGAGAAAGGGGTGGGAAATGTAATTGAATAAATGACTAACCAAGAAAATAAACAGAAATAACTAAGCTTTCGTTCTGCCTTAAGAGCCCAAGGACTTGTCTCACACTGTGAAACAGAAAAAGTGGACTCTGTCCACATTAACAGCTATTACAGTGCCCACAGTCCTTCAAAGGAGCCAGAGACAACTATGGTTATCATGTCTCATACTACTAAGACTAGCAGAAGAGTCTGTGATTCACCTTAGTATATTACTTATTTTAAAAAGGTTTTTTTTTTTTTTTTAAAGACAATGATTCTATATGATAGAGATAAAGAATTCAACAAGCATTTATTGAGCACCCAGCTTTGCCCTGCACTGCCAGTCACTGGGGAGCAGTGCTAGAAAAGTGAGTCAGAACGGTCTCTAATCTGGTTATGCTCCATCAGTGGGGGAGCTGATTGACCACAAAAGGTAATATTACATACAATGTGGATGCTAACACAAACAGAAACACATGGCAAACACATGATAAATTAATAAAAGTTCCCCCCTGAACACCAGTTGTTAACTTCAGTCAGAGTAGAGATGATACAGTAAATCCCCAAATGTAATCAAAGTAGGAACTTTATCGGTGACAAAGTAATTGGTCTTTTCAAACTTCTTAAGGCATGTGAATGGTATTGGCGAACTTACAGATCTTAAAGAAATATAAACAGGGGTTGCTCCAACCATTTTCACCATGGGCTCATAGCAGTCATAGAAAGGCACGATTATTATGACCTGAAATACACCCAAATAAGAATACATCCTATCAATCATTGACTCATTTAACAAATACCGTGTAACTGCTGTGTGAGAGGCACCATACTATAAGCTGAGATGCAGCATGAAGCTAATGTCTGAATGGAAGAGACCGTGGGGATAAACTCATCGGGAGCCTTCACTGGAGCCGCACGGGGACCTGGGAATTGCATGCAGTTTTATAGGAGCATAAGTAGATTTTTTGAGGGGAAAGGGACCACAACTCTCATCACATTCTCAAAGGAATGTTCCATCCAAAAATACTGGGAGTTTATTTAAATTTCAAGTTAGGAGATAAAATGTCGGATGGTGGCAGAAGCCAGACTATAAAGAAAGAGAACACTGCGATGCTCTCGGTGGTGCAGTACTAATTTCTAAGTATTATCTTGAAAGTAAAGATTTTCCCTTCCCTCAAAAGCATCCAGAAACAAAGAGTGAATACAGGGAGACCAGTTAAGATGCTATTGTAATTGTCTGATTCCACATTTCCCCTGCCAGGTGACATATCTGGATTCTGTCGTTTTGTCCTAGTCCCTGGTATGTATACTCCTGGACCCCTTGCCCCTGCCTGCTCTCTTTCCATCACTCAGGGGCTGGATTTCAGCCCAGTCAGGATCCCTCCCACAACCTGCCAGCCTGACTCTAGCATCCTGACCCTTTGCTTTTCTAAAAGAAGAGTTTGAACACATAATTTGTAAGCATTATATACGTTCAAAAGTTCTTCCTATCTTTTTTAAACCTAGCAATATTTCACAAAAATTTCATATAATTATAGTTTTAATATTGTTTTAATGGCTATTTGAGAGCCTATTGAGTTCTAGAGTAATTTTCTTATTGTTTGCTTGTATAAATAACAATGTTATGTCTATTTGTGAGTATGTGCAGTTTGTCTATTTTTAGAGAGTCTGTTGAATAAATTTAGATGATTGCTAGAGTAAAGAGTATAAGCATCTTTATGGTACTTTCCATATATAGCAACTGCTTTTGAAAAATCGGGCAAGAGCAATTTATAATTCCACAAGTTAATAGTAAGCTGTCTCATTTAACATTTTTTGAGTAAATGGTTCTAATTACTATTCTAAATTCACTTTTTAAAACTGTTTGTATTTCCGATGACATGAAATACCTGTTCAAGGCCTTTCTCTTTGGAATAAAAGGGCCTTACATGCTAAAGGCCCTTTGTTTGTCCTAGTCATTCAATGCACATTGTGTACCTACTATACAATGTGCTGTTAGGTGTTAGGAGGACAAAGAAATGAACCAGGAACAAGTTTTTAATTAGTCTGTGAAATTCTCAGGGACTAAGATGACCTATCTTTGTAACCCTGGTGAGAAACATAGTGAGAGCTTAGAAAAGGAAACTACATTTGGAGGAAGGAAGGCAGAACTGAATGAATGTACTTGACGCTCTTCACTGTGATTGCTTCATGTTTACAATGGGACTAATTTCCCTCCCTCTTTAAAGAATAATTATTGAGCAATTTTTTTAAAATGTCTTTATTTATATATTTTTTTCTTTTTTTTTAGAGAGAGAGGAAGGGAAAGGGAGAGATTAAGATAGAGATAGATAGATAGAGAGAGAGAGACTCTGACTGGCTGCCTTCTGCATGCCTCTACTGGGGATTGAGTCTGCAACCTGGGCATGTGCCCTGACCAGGGATAAAAGCAGTAACCTCTTGGTACATGGGATGATGCTCAATCCACTGAGCAACACCAGCTGGGCTGGGCGCTCACTATTTTAGGTGCTGATTAAGTTGAGATGAAAGGTTATTTTAGCAGTGCAAACTAAGATTAATTTTCCCCATCATTTCTGGCCTCTTCCACCTGCCTTTATCTAAATAAGCATTAAAAATAAGGATAAAATACATGCAACAAAATGGATGAATCTCACAGACAAAATGAAAGAAGCCAGATTCAAGAGTATATACTATATGATGGTATTATATCCAGTTAAAGAGCAGGTGATAGAAGACAGAAGAGTGGGTATCTCTGGGAGAATATAGACTAGGAAGGGGCAAAAGGGTGCTGGAAATGTATTATATCTTCTTCTGGTTTGTGGTCACATGGAGATACACACATAAACATATGTAAAAATTTATTGAGCTGTATATTCAAGATTTTGAACTTTACTGCATATGCATTATACTTCAAAAATAATAAAAAAAAATAGCATAAAACAAGTAAAAGATTCAAAGGTAGGACAAATAATAATGATGAATTGGGTAATATGGTAATGTTAATACTTACTTCATCTCCCTCATCAATTAATCCTTGAATGGTATTAAAGAGAGAGCCATATGCTCCTACTGTCACAAGGATTTCTTTATTTGGATCGATCTGCTTTTGATACAACTTTTCATATAAGCAGGACAGAGCTTTCACAAGTGGTGGATGACCCTGTTGAAGAAAAAAACTTTAATTATGATAACTACTTCTTTGAAATAATTTGGCTCTAAATTGAATTTTTAAAAAATATCTGGGTTTTTATAATTATCCAAAGAATATTTTTTAATTGGCAGTTAATTAAAAATTTTTTCCCCGCAGAGACCGGTTTGGCTCAATGGATAGAGCATTGGGTTGGGGACTAAAGGGTCCTGGTTTGATTCCGATCGGGGGCATGTACCTTGGTTACGGGCATATCCCCAGTAGGGGGTGGGCAAGAGGCAGCTGATCGATGACTCTCTCATCGATGTTTCTGACTCTCTATCTCTCTCCCTTCCTTTCTGTACAAAATCAATAAAATATATTAAAAAAAAAATTTTTCCCCCCTATGATCAGAGGGTTCCTACATGAATCACCAGGAAGACTTGCTAATGATTAAAAACTTCCTATTAAATTATTGATTTTGGAACACGGAATTTAAAATTATTTGCTTTGATTAAAAATTGATTTCAACACCAAATATTTTTTGACAATACATTTTGATAGTAATTAGATCACATTTAATGACTATTTTTAACAGTAATTAAATCATATTGAATAGAGTTGGATATTTTTTCCTAGTTAAAATCAGCCAGGAACCAGCATTAACTATATCTCATCCCAGGATTCTGTTCTTCCAAGTTGCAGCAGAACAGGTTATTCCAACCAATGGACTAAGGTGAGAGGAAAGAAATTCACCAAAAAAAATGCACGTTCGTGTTGGCAACACATGTGAGGAAGTGGAACCTTATTCCCATTGAGAGCCAAGAGGGAGTGTTACCTAGAAGAACAACTTGAACATGAAGACTGAGAGGACTGTAAATGTACCAAGTCTGAGACATGAGGAGGCCCGACTTCTTAGCTCCTCCTCCATCTTCTCTTCTATGACCTGTTCCCTTCTCTCCTTCTTTCTTCCCCCTCTTATTACCCCTTTTGTCTTATTAGGTACCAAAGTCAATATTTATTTTTTTCTATCCAGCATTACTTCCTCTTTTTGCTTTAGGGGAACCACCTGGTTTTCTGTCACCTGTGAGAGTGTCCAAGTGTAGGAAACATGGCTTTGCTTGGAAAGCACCTGGGCTCCAGAGGGATAAACTGGGTCAGAATGCAGGAGAAGAGGGAGGCTGGCTGGATACACCCCAGGCTTGTGAGATAAAGAGGCCTAAGGTTCCTTGTAAGTTGTCCACCCCAGTTCATATGAAGAAAAGGAGTCATTTTTTTTGGTCAAAGTTGCATTCATTCCTTTCAGAATATTGACTAGTATGCCCCATACCCTCACTGTGTTAAAATCAATAAAAACAAAGCTATAGCTTTGAAATTAGAAGGTATTATAATATTAGAGAAACTGGGTATAATTAATAAGAGGAGGTAATAGAACATAGTCCGTAAAGTAAAAAACAATAACGAGAGAAAAAGACGACATAAATTCAAGCTAAAAAAATAGACAGGAATTGTGGAAAGAGCAAGAGAAGTTTGTCATCATTCTCTCTTTTTTAAAAAAAATATATTTTATTGATTTTTACAGAGAGGAAGGGAGAGAGATAGAGAGCTAGAAACGTCGATGAGAGAGAAACATCGACCAGCTGCCTCTTGCACACCCCCTACCGGGGATGTGCCCGCAACCAGTGTACATGCCCTTGACCAGAATCGAACCTGGGACCTTTCAGTCCGCAGACCAACGCTCTACCACTGAGCCAAACTGGTTTCGGCGGTTTGTCACCATTCTCAAATCCAAAATTTCCTTTTAATACCAGGTCTAAAAAATTTTAGCAAAGCATGATTTGAAATCAATTACCATTCTTTTCTTAAGATGATAAGGGTCAGAGCGTCGGCCTGCAGACTGAAGAGTCCCGGTTCGATTCTAGTCAAGGGCATGTACCTTGGTTGCGAGCACATCCCCAGTAGGGGGTGTGTAGGAGGCAGCTGATCAATGTTTCTCTCTCATCGATGTTTCTAACTCTATCCCTCTCCCTTCCTCTCTATAAAAAATTAATAAAATACATATTTTTAAAAAGATAAGGGTCTGTGTTTTGTTTTTTTTTTAAACATTTTTAATTACAAAAATAATTCATGCTTCTTATAATAATTAAACTAGGCAAAGATATGTAAAGAAAAATTATGATTTCTCCTCAATATCATTTCCTTCCCTTCCCCAGAGGTGACTGATGTCCTCAGCCTGATGACAGTGCAACACCATACTCAGTGCATATACCAAGATAAAAGCATGCACTCATATGCACTCATATATGTCTACAAAAACTGGAAGATACCTAAATGAATGGGCATGGCTATGTTCTAATAACCTTTATTTAAAAAGTCAGGAGTGCATCAGATTCAGCCATTGGTCATAGCTTGATAAACTCTGCTATGAATCAATTTAGATTGAATTATCATTTTGACAATATTTAGTCTTTTTTTAAAAAAATTGTTGCCCAAGGATGTTTATTGGTTTTAGTGAGAAAGGAAGGAGGGGGGAAGAAGAGAGAGAGAGAGAGAGAGAGAGAGAGAGAGAGATCAATGTGTGAGAGAAAAAGCAATGGGTTGCCTCTCGGATTGAACACATAACCTTTTGATATATGGGACAATGCTCCAACCACTTGAGCCACCCAGCCAGAGCAATATTTAGTCTTTTAATTCATGAACATCATTTATTTAGGTATTATTTAATTTTTTTCAGATATGTAGTAAAGTTTTCAGTGTACAGATTTTACATTTTAAAAATTCAATTCTAAATATTTCATGGTTTTGGATGCTATTATAAATGGTATGTAAGAAATTTTAATTTCCAACTGTTCATTTTTTATGTATATAAATATAATTGATTTCTGTATATTGACCTTATGTCTTGCAACATTGCAAAATTCACTTAGTATGTTGTGGTAGCTGATTTTTTTTTTTTTTTTTTTTTTTTACATTCTAGGAAATCTCTGGTTATCTTGGGCATTTAAACACAGAAGGATGAGGGTTGGGCTGTGGTAGAGTAGAAGAAAGTCTGTGTTGGAATTAGAGGATAATTAAGAGGCCAGTGCTGAGGCTGCATAGGTGGTAATGGGAAAGAAACACATGTCTCAAGAATACTCTCTCCCTCCCTTGTTGCCACAGGACTGTTCTCCAACAACAGCAGAGGAAGGAAGGGCCAAGCAGGACCGAGGAGGAACTGGAAGTAGGGGACAGCTCATCCTAGCAGACAAGGGAAAGGGAGGGGTTCCTTGGTTATTGGGTTGGGACAGTTGGTCCCAGAAGGCTAATTACATAGATGTCTGCTCATACACAATACAATATAAATTACAAGCTCACACCTCACTCGGTCCTCCTGTACTTACAAAGCCCCGTGTATACTGATTCAGGCTATCAACTGCTGCAATCTTTGATAATTCTTCCTTCACATACAGAGGAGGGGATATATCTGGAAGGCCTTGGCCAAGATTCACAACAGAAGGGTCTGCAGCCAACTTGGTAAATTCAATCCTAAAATAAAAAATACTAATATTAGAGATCAACCAAAGGACTTGTATGCATGCATATAAGCCTAACCAATGGACACATATACCAGGGGGGTGAGGGCATGAGTGTGGGGAGGCAATAGGAGGTAATAAAAAATAATAAAATAAAAAATACTAATATTAATAACCACTATAATTACAGAGTCAATTTTTTATACCTCATAATCTTATTATAAAACTGAAAAATCAGACCTGTTTTAGATGTTTAAAAAATGAGTTCTCAACAAAAATGTTATCATCTACAAAATGACTTCATTTAATAAAAAGATAGCTGAACAAAAAAACATAATGTTTCTTATAAACCTCAATTCCATGATACACATACTTTAATCATATAGATATTCTTCTCAATCAAATCAGCCCTGCTAGGTTCTCTTATTAATTGCTAGAGACTTGAGTTAATAAGAAAAGTTCATGGATTAGAAGCTAAGTTCCAAGAGGGTAGCAACCAAATTTGTTTTTTCTCCGCCTATTTCCAGTACCTGGCACAAGGCTTGGCACATTTATATGGATCATTAACTTCCTTCCATTTCCACTTAATGGATGAATTAAAATAAGTTGATTTATTCATTTGTTTATTGAGACAAGGCTAAAAATTCCCAAGTGGGGATAGAAAAATGGGTAGAAAATAAAAAAAACTCACCAAAGTATTATTGTTGATTCTAAGGTACTCACCACACATTACTATCAAGGCCTTCAATTCGTTTTGCATTTTTAAATTTCGAAGACATTTTCTGAAAGGTATAAATATTAAAAAGGTGTTTACATTTCTTTAATCAGAATTTAAAAATGCTAGAAGTTCATGGGTAACTCTTTACCCAATTGTCAACCTAGAAAAGACAATACCATAAATATAAATGCTAGACTCCAACAAAAAAATTCCAAAGAGGAGTTCATCTCCCGCTTGCTGTCCTAAGAAGTGCTTTTTCTTACACATTTTAGATGTCTATAATCTTCCACAAGAACCAAAGTATCCTTTCCTAAAAAATAAAACAACTTAAAGGCCTGAAATGTACTAAAGAGAATAATGATAATAATAAAGTCAGTTTAAAAAATATCTTGAGTCTGAGGTTTATTTTAGGTAAGATGTACTAACAGTTTCACAAGTTGAGTTTCTCCTATGACACACAAGAAGCACTCAACACATGGTTTTAAAACTACTTAATCAAAGATGGCTGCTCGGGTAGGCACCTAGCCGCAGCCGCATGCAACAATTTCAATAAAATACAACTAAAATATAAAATGGACATTACCCAGAACTACAGGAAAGTCGACTGAATGGAAATTCTACAACAAGAAGCAAGGAGAAAACCAGAAGGAAGCGCGGAGGAGCTGGAAAAGCCCAAGGTACGGAGACACACGGCGCGCGGAGAGGACAGAGCCGGAGAGGAGGGAGGCGGAGTGCCTGGAGGGCGTTCCCTGGTGGGAAGGAGATAAAACTCCGACTGTGCTGGGCCCCCGACTGCTCTGAACCCAAGCCTAGGCCAGACCCCGGGGACCCAGGCTCACACAGAGGGAGCCGGGCTGAAAGGCGGAACCCGGGGAAGAGGCAAAAGGAGGTCCCGGCGGCGCCGCGCAGAGAAGGGACGGCCGGCTGTACCGCAGGAGTGCCTGGCGGGAAGGAGACAGGGGCTCCAGTCTGCTCTGAAGGCCACCTCCAACTCCACTTCCAACTGAACTGAACCCCAGTTCGGGCCCATTGGGGGAGAGACTAGACTGTTTGGCAGCAGGCGAAAATCGAGGGCGCCTTTCTCTCAGAGGCGCTTGCAAGGAGAACTGAAGGACCCTGAGTCTCAGGAATCGCATAGGGCGGGGCTGACGGAAGCCAAAGCTGTAGGCTCCACCCTGAAACCCCGCCCCATCAGGAAAGCTGCCTGCGAAAATGCCTAAACCAAATAGATCACAAATGAAAGAAATGGAGGACAAAAAGCGACTGGATATAGAGTTCAAAACTACACTTATAAGGTTTTTCAAGAGTTTCCTAGAAAAGGCTGATAAAATAAATGAGACTTATGAGGATATGAAAAGGGATCAACAAGAAATAAAGAATACATTGTCTGAAATAAAAAATATTATACAGAGTCCTAAAAACAGAATAGAAGATCGCAAGAATCAAGTCAAAGATCTGGAACATAAAGAGCCAGAAGACACTCCTCCGCAGAAGCTAGAAGGCAAGAGAATACAGAAAATTGAAGATGATGTATGAAACCTCTGGGACAACTTCAAATGATCCAACATCAGAATTATGGGGGTCCCAGAAGATGAGAGAGAGCAAGATATCGAAAACATACTGAAAGAAATAGTGACAGAAAACTTCCCCCACCTGGGGAAAGAATTGGACTTACAAGTCCAGGAAGCACACAGAACTCCAAATAAAAGGAATCCAAAGAGGACCACACCAAGACAAATCATAATTAAGATTCCAAGAGCAAAAGACAAAGAGAGAATATTAAAAGAAGCAAGAGCTAAGCAGATAGTCACCTATAAAGGAGCACCTATACGATTGTCAGCTGATTTCTCAACAGAAACCATGCAGGCCAGACGGGAATGGCAAGAAATATTCAAGGTGATGAATAGTAAGAACCTACAGCCAAAGATAATCTATCCAGCAAAGCTATCACTCAGATTCGAAGGTCAGATAAAGAGCTTCACTAATAAAAAAAAGCTAAAGGAGTTCATCACCACCAAACCAGAATTATATGAATTGCTGAAGGGGGTTCTTTCAGAAGAGAAAGTAAATAAAGATAAAAATTATGAACAACAAATACGTAACTATCAACAAGTGAATCTAAAAACCAAGGAAATTAAAAAAAAAAATCTGAGGAACAATATTAATAGAATCAGAGGTATGGAAGGGGAGTGAACTGATGATTCTTGGGGAAAAGGGGAGAGGGGGATGTGGGAAGAGACTGGACATAAACTGTGCACCTATGGATGAGGACAATGGGGGTGGGGAAAAGGCAGAGGGTGGGGTGGGAAGGGGGGGGAAGGAACATTTGTAATAATATGAACAATAAAAATTTATTTAAGAAAAAAAAAACTACTTAATCAGTAGTTTCACAAAATAATAATAGCAACTAATGTAATTGACTGTGTATGTACCAGGCACTGTTCTGTTTTTACATAATTACCTCATGTAAAATTCACAACAACTCTATGTAATGATTCTATTAGTATCCATAATTTACATGTGAGGAAAGTGAGGTACAGAGAGGATAAGATCACAGAAGTTTACACATCTGCCCAAGTTTATAAAACTAATCACATTTAAACAGAAACAGATGCAACTCAGGATCTGAACCCAGGCAGGCTGATTCCAGAACACATACTCAGAACTATTTCCGTGTATTGTCTTTTTTGTAAACCGGCCTTTTAAAGATATTATAAGAATGCTGCTTCTTTAAAAGATTATATTAGAATGCTGGCAGTGTGGCTCAGTTGGTTGGAATGTCGTCCTGAGCACCAAAAGGTGATGGGTTCAATTCCAGGTCAGGGTACATACCCAGGATTCACGTTCCATCCCTAGTCCGGGAGTGTGAGGGAGGCAACCGATCAATGTTTCTCTCTCACATCAATGTTACTTTCTCTCTCAAATCAATACAAAAATAAGAAAAAAAGTTATATTAGACATCAAATTAGTTCTATTTAACATTGAGCAGGTTAGGAATGTCACAGAAAAATATTCAAAATTAAAAAACAGATAATAACTCACCAGAGGCCCCTTAAAAAAAAAGAAAAATACTCAAAGTTAAAATTATGGTACAGCATAATATTTTTTTAGCTCTTTAGATCCTAGAATTAAGTTTATACTATCTCTCAAAAGCATTGAATTAGCTTTGAGTTCATTGTTAACAAGCTGCTGGAAATAAAAAAAAAAATGATTGGCAGCATATTTGCAAAGATTATCCTAATAGAATATTAAAGTAATTTTATTTCAATCTGTGGGGAAGATAATGATAATGGTTATTAAATAGACCATTGTTCTCATTCTATTCCCAATAATGGAGCCAAGAAAAGTACCTTTTCACTCTCTTATTTTTAATCTTTGAAACTCCAGTGAAGTAAATCAGATGCAAATTCTCCAGAGGTTAATGTGCCTTCAGAGGAGCATCATGATTAAGTACCCACATGCACACGATGGCATTCTAGAGGCTATAATTATAAAATAAGAAGTCCCAGAATGATAGAGAGAAAAGGATAGTTTAACAATTGTCCTTTGCCATCTCGAAAAAATGTTTAAAACTTAGTAATTCATTCAGTGGCTATAAACACAGAATACAGATTCATATATTAAAAAGTCAGCACAGTTCTGCAGTAGATAATTTTGACACAGTTTTACTTAAACCATTTAGGTAAGTGAGGGAAAATGCACTTTCACATTGACTTTTCTTTAAAATTTGTGGCTACAACGGCCTCCACTCACTACTCTCCCTGAGTCCTCTCCTTCTCAACTCTATGCCTTAACCATTCCAATATTTCAAATATTGTATGTTCTCTCTCACTTCCATAGATCCACAGGTGATCATTTTTCTACCCAGATTGGTCTTTCTATACCAATGTTTCTTACGGTCTTTTTCATAAGTGCCTCCTGAAGGAGACAGTTTAGATATTTGTTCTAATCACCTCTCCTGCTCCCCCATTAAATATTAAGGAATAAAATTTTGTCACAGAGTTGAGCTTTGCATGGCCACAAAACGTTGTAATAGCTAAGGTTTGTTTCACCTGCCAAGCACCAATTTTCTCTTCCTTTGGGGCAATAAGATCCCTGTTGAGAATACATGTTCTATACTCAGTCTAATCCCTGGTCCCCAGCACCTTCGCTCTGCCCTTAGCTAACTCCCATTCCATCGCCACCTTCAGTTCCCAAGTTAGACTTTATTGTCTCCAGAAAGCCTTTATGATTCCCCAAGTCAAAGTTAGACACTCCTCCTATGTGCTCCTATTAAACGGAGTACTTTCCAGCATTTACTACAAAAACACTATTATTTCTGTGTACTCGTCTGTATACTTTCTTAGACTGTAAGCTCTATGAGAAAGAGCTGTTGCTAGTTTGTTCACTGACAGTTGTCTGTATCAACCACGTTTCTCTAGAGCAGTGGTTCTCAATCTTCCTAATGCAGTGAACCTTTAATACAGTTCCTCATGTTGTGGTGACCCCCAACCATAAAATTATTTTCATGGCTACTTCATAACTGTAATTTTGCTACTGTTAGGAATCATTATGTAAATATCTGTGTTTTCTATGGTCTTAGGCGACTCCTGTGAAAGGGCCGTTTGACCCCCCTAAAGGGGTCTTGACCCACAGGTTGAGAACCGCTGCTCTAGGGAAACAGAATCAATAGGATGTCTGTGTGTGTGTGTGTGCATATATATATATATATATATATATATATATATATATATATATATATAGTGATTTATATTAAGGAATTGGCGCATGTAATTTGTGGGGGTTGGCAAGTTCAAAATCTGCAGAACAACCCTGAAAGCTGGAGCCCCAAGAAAGAGTTGATGCTGCAGCTTTTGTCTGAAGGGGACCTGCAGGTAGAATTCCCTCTTCTTGGGGAGGGAGGAGCCTCAGGGTTTTGTCTTTTGAGGCCTTCAACTAACTGGATCAGGTTCACCCCATTATGGAAGGCAATTTGCTTTAAAGTCTATTGATTTAAATGTTAATCTCATCAGAAAAAAAATGCCTTCACAGAGACAGCTAAACTGGTGTTGGAACAAATCTCTG